AAAAATGCATATTTTCTACATTTAATCAATTATTCAATCTTTAAAAAATGTTGACAAGGGCAATAACTCCTTCTAAGGTCTCTTCATTCAGGCATTTGCTTTATTGTAAAATAATTTTCCTGGTATTCATATTAGGAACACTCAACATCAGAATTATGCATTTAAACCAGTTTTTACATATTTTTCATAATACTATTTACAAAAAATGTGCGATTTCTTTTATGTTGACATACACTTCTGTTTATCTATGTTTCGGATCTTAAATAATATGGTGACCTATACATTTTTTGCAATAATTGGAAAGTTTAAAGTATATTAAATGAAAATAAATGCAGTTTTTATACTTTGAACCTATGAAATTGTGAGGGTGGAAACATCTTAAATTAATTAATTTGTTCTACATTACCTGAGGATGCTTCCATGTAAATATCACTAACCATGGCTTTGCTATTCTATAGAAAAAGATTTTTAAAAATATGTTTTAATGTAAAACTTGGATCCCCAATTGTGGCCCCACCCTATCCCTGGGGGTATTATTTGAACAAACTAGAATCTACAGTACCCGAGGATGCTTCCATATAAATATCACCAATCATGGCTTTGCAGTACTTGAGAAGAAATTTTTTAAAGATTTCCCTATATATATCTATGTAAAACTTAAATCAGCCATTATGGCCCCACCCTACCATCGGGGGTCATGATTTGAACAAACTTGAGTGTACACTACCTGAGGATGATTCAACATGAGTTTCATCTTTCCTGTCTCTATTGTTCTTGAGAAAAAGATTTTTAAAGATTTTGCCTATACCTGGTATATTCCTATGTAAAACTTTGATCGGCCATTGTAGCCCCAGCCGCCCCACCCTACCACCGGGGGTCATGATTTGAACAAACTTGAATGAACACTATCTGAGGATGATTTAACATGAGTTTCATCTTTCCTGTCGCAATTTTTCTTGAGAAGATTTTTAAAGATTTTCCTATATATTCCTATGTAAAACTTTGATCGGCCATTGTGGCCCCACCCTACCCCCAGGGGTCGTGATTTGAGAAGAAGATTTTTTTAAAATGCCATTAATTTTTCACTAATTCATAATTATCTCCCCTTGGATGAAGGCGTTGCCCTTCATTTGAATAAACTTGAATGCCCTTTACCCAAAGATACTTTGTAGCAAGTTTGGTTGAAATTGGTCCAGTGGTTCTTGAGAAGAAGATGAAAATGTGAAAAGTTTAAAACAACGCCAACGACGACGACGATAACAGACAACGGATAAATTTTGATCAGAAAAGCTCACTTGAGCCTTCGGCTCAGATGAGCTAAAAACGAAATTGTCAGTTAAAAAACACAAAAGTAAATAAAAAACTAAAATATCGAATGTAAAATGAAATAAATAAGGAAATTGAATAAAAAAAACTATTAAATTCATCTAAATAAGAAAAGAAATTAATTTATTTACTAAAATATCAAATATACGGAAATTTTAAAAAATGCGTTGTAAAAACGTTTTAATTTCGATTTCATGTAATTAATTATTTCGTCCTCTCTTTGATACCTCCTGTTTTTTATACAACAATTTCGTTTTTATTTAATTTTTGTTAGCTTTGCTTTGCACAATCGGGGTTCGTTTAAGAAATATCATCAAATTAAGTTAAATAACTACTAAAATTTTGATATATGCAAAAAGAGACAGGAATTTTCTTCAAAACTGCCATTTTCAAAGAGGCATATTTTTGAAAAACACAAAAATTGAATAAAAGTATCATCAATACGAAATACAAAACGTGGTAAAAAAAAATAGTGTCGGAAATGGTCTAATGGTTATGTTGGTGGTGACACCTGAGAATGGGTTCGAATCCTGGGATTGGTTGTATTTGTATATATTTTCTTCTTCACTTTTAATATAAATAATAATAAAAGTGCAATAAAACATCTATTTTAAGAGAGAGAGAGAGAGAGAGAGATGTACACTGAAAGAAAAACCTAATAGTGAATTTAACTAGTGTTCCTCGTAAAGCGTTTGTCATGATTAATAAATTTTAAATTTACTGGCTAAGATAGTGAGAAGTGGAGCTGGGGTCGTACAGATACTTAGACACCTAGTGAACGTCACTTTATACTTAGTAAAACTACTTTTAAAAAGTAGTGATTGCTTGGACAGTAAATTTACCAGTAGTCTTAGTGACTCTAACTAGTTATTTTTTACAGTGTAATATTTTTAAGACATGCAGAAATTAAATTGTTTTCTTGATATTGTGTCCTAAACTAATGGCATAATCCTATCATTTATTAGAAGCAAAGTCTTGGAAAATAAAGCATTGTTTTAAATAATTCATATTTTACAGTTTACTCATTTTGATTTATAATTGGTCTATCATTTTAAAATGGCCAAGATTTGGCTTGAAACAAATGGTATGTCATGGATGTAGTTCAACAGTTTTATTTATTGAAAAACTAGATTGTATCGTGATTTTATTATGATACAAAAGTTATTTTGACGTTAACTGTATGCTTGTTTCTCTATTTATACATCCATTGTGATATCTGAAACAAGCACCGGACTGAACGTTTTTCCAATAACTACCTGTTTTCTTTTTTTAATGAGCATGATATCCGGAATAAGGTGAATTCTTAAAATATATTTTTAGGATGATTTTTTTATAATAATGCTACAAAATGCAATGCAATAAGAATGATATATAATTATACTTATTTAAATTCGTTACATTACAGTTGAACACCTTGAATACGAATTATTTTTTGAGGAAGCAGTTATCTGTTATGACAAAATGAAATTTAGGGGGGGAAAAGCACACTATACTTTCATCAACACGAAGTACAGAAAAGTAATAGGTGTTGGTGCTATTCATGTTTGAAAAGATTTAATTGATAGCCATTCTCTGTAATGACTTGAAATTTTATATAGGAGATGTGGCACGCATTGTCCCAGAATTTCTCTATATGATAAAATTCTTTTGATACCCTGAACTAAAATCAGACAAAATTGGTTGCTGTGTATTACTTTTACCATGGCAACATGTCTAAAAGTTAGAAAAATTGCATTTTTAAACATGTTTAGGCTCCCATTTTTAACATTGAATCCGATTCTATCTTAAAAAACACATTTCTATATAACTGATGATCAATTTTTCAAGGTGTTGGTGTTATCTTAATTTTCCCATTTAAAAAATCAAATCAAATTCATTATAAAGAACGTTGCTATGAAATTAAGCAGAAATTATGTGCTTAAAAATCTTAAAAATATGTTGTTTCCTTGGATACGTATCCTTAAAACTTTTATGAATGTTATTTATGAACAACAAACCCGACGTTATATTTTGTCTATCATCAAATCTCTAACTGCATGCAAGAAGATGGCACATTTGTTTTAATATTGATATAAAGCTTACAAAATCCTTTTTGGTAACCATAGCACCAGTATTCTTTTCTTCATCAAATTTCATCAATACATTTGGTATTCAACATTAGTGCTACCAGATTAGTAATATTCAAGGTTTGAAATATAATATGTTTCTTGATCAAATGGCAAATTAATTCTTAAAGCAACAAAAACTAGAGGTAATATAAGCAAGGAACTCACTAAATGATACGCCCCCCCCCCTCGCCTCCCATATGGTTATAATGGCAAAGTCCATGTTTTGATCTGGGAGAAGCGAAATAAGTGTCAGATCAAAAAGTAAAATTATAGGTGGACAATGGCATTATGTAATGAAAAATCTGTGAAAGTATCATTAAATTTTATTCAGTGGTATGAGAGGAGTTGCGGATAAGAGAGGTGTACCCTTCAATATTACAGACAGAACGGCCGTGTCCATTCATTGCTCTGGTAAACCAAAAATATGCGTCCGATACAAAATTAAATAGGAGGTGCACAATGACACTACGTAACGAAGATTCTGTGAAAGTCTCATTAAATTTCATTCAGTGGTAGAAGAGGAATTCAGTTGCGGATAAGAAATGGGTACCCAAAAGTGTAACAGACGGACGTGCAGATGGACGTACAGACGGACGGACATCCCGAGGTAGCATATTTTTTTTATGTTGTTGGTGTTGCAAGAACACAAGGATGCATATTGCCAATCTTGAATTTTCATGTTTTTTTTTCTTAAGTCAGTAGCATTAACCCAATCTTAACTAGAGATACTGTGAGCAATGAGCTCACTAATTGATACCCCCCGCCTCCCATAATGTCCATGTTTTGCTATATTGTTTTACGGTAAAGTGTAAAGAGGAATAACTCGTGGTATCTAATGTTATTCAGAAGCCGCCATAACTCACGTCATAGGTGAGAATATAATGGCAAAGTCCATGTTTCGCTGTGACCGGGAAACCCAAAATATGTGTCGGATCAAAAAGTAAAATAAGAGTTCACAATGGAAATATGTAATAAAGATTCTGTGAAAGTTTCATTAAATTTCACTCAGTGGTATAAGAGGAGTTGCGGATAAGAGATGGGTACCCCAAAGCGTAACAGACAGACGGACGGACGGACATACCGATTACAGTATACCCTCCCCCTTTTCAAGCGGGGGGTATAATTACTTATTCAATTACTTGAAAAGCGAGAGGGTTAAATAGTAATCGGGATGTATCTCCGTCAGTCTGTTACGCTTTGGGGTACCCATCTTTTATCCGCAACTCCTCCAATACCACTGAAATTTAATGAGAATTTCACAGAATTTTTGTCACAAAGTGCCATTATGCACCTCCTATTTTACTTTTTGATCGAACACATATTTTGAGTATCAAAGAGCAAAGCATGGACACGGCTGTTCTTTTTATAATATTGGGATTCGAACCCCGAACGTAAAGATCAGCTCCTTACTTAGACACTATAGAGCAAACACTAAAACCACTGCGCCACGCGGGCGAACTTACAATTTATTGAAATCATTTGGTTGTATTCATTAGTTTCTCATGAACTGATTTTTTTTACTTCCGCGTCCCATTGTAATAAAAGCAGACTTTCTCGTAGAAACTGTACTGCTCAGTCTGTCATTATGCGCACGTTAATCAGCTTCGTTTTATGGTTTTTGTTAATTCAACTAGAGTAAGTATTATTCTGAACATTTCTTACTGAATTACTTTTGTCTGAATTGACTTTCACGATGTTCTAGTAGTTATGATTAAAAATACCTTGTCCGAGCTTACAGAACAAAAACTTCTATTTTCAGATTAAATAGAGCTGAAACTTGCAAACATGTTATAAAGAGTATAGAACCATACCAGGTATATGTATGTACACATCGCTGGCTTGGTCTTTGGTAAGATCCGCCACTCAGAAATATGAAAAAATTAATACTAGTACATAGTACACACTATAGGATATTCGTATTCCAGATTGTACTTTCTGCCATAAATTTGTTATTACTTTTATTTTTTGCTATTAAGTATTAATGAAACAAAAAGACACTTGCCACGAAGTCTTGATAGCTGAAAAAAAGTGTAGAGTATCTATACTCTCTCATTTCTATTTGAATGATTCATATTGAGATAACGAACAATATTGAAGATCAATATCCATAAAACAATACAAAATAGGAGCAGAACAAACACGGACCTCCAAAACATCAGAGATTGGATCAGGTGCCATGGAAGAGTGACCATCCCCTGCCGACCGGTGACACCCACCGTTTGTACTGATCGGGAAATAACGGAAAAATCCGTCGTCAATTCAGTGTATAAATAATGCACTGACAATTAGTATGATGAAAAACGCCAGTCAACCTTTGACTCAATGATAAATAGTATTTGCTGACAAGGGTCATTGTATCGACCATAGAACTTACGAAATGATGATTTAAAATGAGACTGTTGATATTTTTGTTTCATCAACTTGTTTGTCAATTTACCTCGTTTTAGAAATTGTTTACATAGAGCATGCTCTTGCGTATTGAATCAACTGAACGTCCGTCCGTCCGTCTGTTGCGGTTTGGGGTACCCATCTCTTATCCACAACTCCCCTTATACCACTGAATGAAATTTGATGAGACTTTCAGAGAATCTTTATTACATATTGCCATTCTGAACCTCCTATCTTACTTTTTGGTCTGACACATATTTTTGGTTTCTCATAGCAAAACATGGACAGTGCCATTATATTCATATGGGTTATATTCATATGGGAGGCGGGGGTATCATTTAGTGAGCTCATTGCTCACAGTACCTCTAGTTCTGAATTACGCCGAAAAGTATGGTCTCGCCCAGTCAGCAGGAAGTAGGCATGCCTTGAGATTAACACCACTCAAGGCTGTTTGTACAACCTGCTGCACCCCTCTTAACAGATTTGCGACAATGACTTTAACCTGTGTGGAATTCTTCATCCTGATAATTATTTATTTTATTCATAAAAAAATATGGACCACAACCACACTGCAAATGGTAATGCATTTTTATCTGGATAACTAAAACAAATACGCATGTAGGTCAGATTTTAATTGTTTCTTAATCTAGCAAAATTGTCATCTATAAAGCAGCAGGAATACTAGTACTAGGATGATCCGTCTTTAGTGTCTAACTATAGGCCTGTGTCGTTGTTAAGCTGCGTTAGCAAAATTATGGAGAGAATTATTTTCAAACACGTGTATAATTATTTTCATTATAATAATTTATTTTATCGATATCAGGCGGGTTTTTTACCTGGTCACTCTACAGTGTACCAACTTCTAGAAACTTATCATAGTATTGTGCAAAGTATAGACGAAGGCAAATCGTGTTGTATGGTTTTTTGCGATCTGTCTAAAGCATTCGACAGAGTATGGCACAAGGGTCTTCTTTTCAAATTACAAACGTACGGAATATCTGGTGATCTTTTACTGTGGTTTACAAGTTACTTGAGAAATAGATCACAAAAAGTTATGTATAAAGATCTGCTATCATCCAACCTCAATATATATGCAGGTGTGCCTCAAGGCTCAGTTCTAGGTCCTCTTTTATTTTTGATATATATTAATGATGTTGCTGAAAATATGCTTACAATGTGTAGATTATTTGCTGATGACAATTCACTGCAACATGCATCATATAAAGTACTAGATATAGAATACAGGTTAAACCACGATCTTGATGTTTTAGACAAATGGTCGAGTACATGGCTTTTAAGATTCAATCCAGCAAAAACAAAGGTTGTATTTTTTTCGTTAAAGCATAGACCTGTTTTACCTAACTTGTATTTTCAAGGTAATGCACTGGAGTTTGTATCGGCGCATCGCCATTTGGGTATATTGTTGTCACAAAATCTCAACTGGTCTGAATATATAGATGGTATTGTTAATAATGCTTATAAGAAATTGGGGTTATTGAAGAAGTTGAAATTTTCAATCGGTAGGAAAAATCTTTCTCTTTTGTATACAACATTTGTAAGACCTACACTTGAATATGCTTCAATTGTCTGGGATGGTTGCTCTTTATCTGATGTAGAAAAACTTGAAAAAGTACAATTAATGGCTGCTAGAATAGTTACTGGTCTTCCTATATTAGCTTCAAGAGAATCACTCTATTTTGAAACAGGATGGGTACCTTTGAAAAACCGTCGTTACCAATCTAAAATGATTACAATGTTCAAAATTAATAATTGTAATGTACCGGAATATATACAAGACATAGTCCCAAAGAAACGAGAACACACATCAAGATACAATACACGAAATAAGGATCAATTAACTATCCCAAGGGGCAGGTTAGAAATATTTAACAAATCTTTTGTACCTGATGCAGTTAAAAAATGGAATTTACTGAATAAAGAGACAAGGGAAGCCATCTCAGTCAATTCTTTTCGTAAGAATATAAGTGATAATAATCCTAAAGCACCATCATATTTTTTGTTTGGTAAACGTATTACCAACATTATTCATACTAAATTAAGGCATAACTGTGTTTTGAACCAAGACTTATTCAAACGTAATATTATTGATAATCCCTACTGCTCTTGTGGTAAACACGAAGATGCCTATCATTTTTTCTTTGTTTGTAAAAAATACTGTAATGCTCGAAGTAATCTTTTTGACTATCTTTTTCGACTTGATTTAAACATCATAGATGTACACCTACTGCTATGGGGCAATGAAAATCTCTCAATCGAAGTAAACAGTGACATTTTTGCCGCTGTTCATAAATTTATAAATGAATCCTGTAGATTTAGCTAGATATATTATTGAATCTTATTTGTACACGTTTTTGTTTCTATTTTGCATGACAATTATTATGTGTTTTTTAAGGAGAAGAACTAGTAAGTTGTTAGAACTTGTTTCTTATCCTTTTGCTTGACAATAAAATATGTTCAAAACAATACTAGTACATTGTCAACTAGAGGTACTGTGAGCAATGAGCTCACTAAATGAAACCCCGCCATCCATATGCCTATAATGGCAGTGTCCATGTTTTGCTGCTGGAAACCCAAATATGTGTCGGATCAAAACGTAAAATAGGAGGTCCACCATGGCAATATCTAATAAAGATTCTGTGAAAGTTTCATCAAATTTCATTCAGTGGTATGAGAGGATTTGTGGATAAGAGATGGGTACCCCAAAGCGTAACAGACGGATGGACAGCTAGACGGACATAGCGATTACTATATACCCTTCCGCTTTTCTAGCGTGGGTATAATCTTACCCTCTTTTCCTTAAAACATTTATTTTTATAATGGAGATTTGCTATCAGTCATAAACTTTACTTCCTATGCAAGACCTGTACATTGATAAAAGGAAGTGGACTTCCTTTAAAAAGTAAACTAAAAAGACTAAGAAAATTAGTTGTTTTGTGAGCTTGCTTTCTATCACAAGGAAAAGCGCCATGTCTAAAAAAAAATGCGTATTTTTCAGCAGATAAGATTTAAGGGGGGGATTCCTTCCGTTTACGGGGAAACGAGGTTCAGTGCCAAAAATTCACTGGGTAAAAATTATATTACAGCGATATGTATTATAAATTTGCGTCTTCACGTCATTTACACAAGTGTGAAAATATTAGAAAGATGGAATCTAGTCTGCTCCTCTTAACCCCCCCCCCCAACCCAAAAAAAGAGAGAATAAATTCTGGAACATAATAATCATAATTTACAAAAACAAGGACAGAAAGTATTTTAGACGAACGACTTTATTTAATTAATATGTAAATGAATATATTGGATTGTCGTTCTCTCTCTCTTTCTCTCTGGAAAATGGTGGGGCCGTTTGTTATCAGAATGCCTGTTATTAGCAGACCTATTTTTCTATTCACATGAAGACGAATTTATTCAAAATCGTTTACATGAGAAGAACATAAGAAGTCGAAAAAAAAAAGAAAAAGAAAAGTAGAATATCAATCAGGAAGGGTTACTTTCATTCATATATCCTGAAATTGTTTATTTATCATAAAATGGCGATTAAAACTTCTGAAACAAAATAACCATACAAACAATTTATTTGATCTGAGCTGTGTCATTTTTTTTTGGGGGGGGGGGGGCGTGCATAAAAAATTTCTAGTGTTAGATGAATCTGAATTTTCCTCCGAGATTCCGCAATAATGGATTATATAAAGGGCATTAGAGGCACAATAAATCCCCCCCCCCCCCCCCGAAAAAGAAAAGCAAATAAACGGAATAAAGATTTTTAAAAAAAGATAGAAAACTAAATATCTCGTGTCTCCTTTTTTAAAAGAGGGGGTGGGGGTATAGAAACCTGAATTTTCTTCTAAAAGCAACACTGTTAAGGCATACTGTGAAGAAATCAATGGAATATAGACATGCAAAAAACGGGAACTATTTAAATGTAAATTAATTTGTATAAAGACGTTTTATTTTTACAAACTTTAAATATTTAGTAAAATAACACAATATACCCAACTCTGTAGTGAATTAAGCTCGGTCCCATCAATGGACAGTCACGTGATAAATGCATAGTATGTGTACTGAATGGAGGACATAAACAAATTTCAATATCGCAAGGGCGTACCCTAGTTGAAATAAAAAAATTAAGTAACCATTTGTTTGTGCATACTTTGTACTATCTAGAAAGTGCTGCTGATTTAAATAGAACTCGTATTTTATTAGTTAAAATTTCAAGTCATTGGGCTTATGATATAAAATGACGTCATATCGACAAGTTTGCTGCGATCAGTGATTTGTTTATGAACTGTTGTCTGGGATTTAATTAGCAACTGTATTTTTAATGCATTGATGAGATTTGATGTTGTTTATTATTCTAATATAGTCAAAATCGCTTATTTGATTTCCAGGTATTATGATGAATATCTACTAGTATTCTGTGTGATGTTACAGTAAACATTTACCGTAAAACTTAGGCCCGCCCCCCTTTTCAAACCTTAACAGTGCTGCAAATGCTAAAATTATCGATCATAAAAAGGGACAATAACAAAATTATTTTTAAAAAAATATCACGTATGTAATGTCATTTGTAGTCAGAGGTAATTTTTCTTGTGCATCTTTTACAAAACAACCATGGAAATGTGCGAACAGAATAATCGACGTTTACCAATAAGCCACAGCGTCATGAAATAGAATTTGCATTTTTTTTTTTTATTTGAAATTATCACTTATTTCTAGTTTATGAAAGATGACATGTTATATATCATTTTGAAGAGGAGAAAATTGTCCATCAGGATCACTAAACAAATCAATACTTATTTTTAGATTTCATGATGTGATCAATCGATTGGCATGCGTGATAATTTGCATAAGGCGTTTATGCATAAAATTATCACGCAAGCCAATCGATTGATCATCGTCATGAAATTGAAAAATCTGACAGTTATTCCTTATATTTACATGCTTTTGATTCCGCCAATCCACGTGCACCAAGCCCTGCTTCTGTCTAGCTATTTGTCCCGCCCTGCACGTGATTTTTTTTAAACCGCGCCTATTGATGAACCAATACATTGATGGGGAAATAAAGTATATTTACTATGGGTAATTTTATCTCGGATAAAGACATTGGAAATGTAAATATATAGTGATACATTCAGACTTTTAAACTACAAGTATTGTTTCAAATCAAATACTGTTATATACATTTACAAGATATCACTTGCAATTGTAATAGGTGTATTTTTAAAAAAAAATTAGTTTCGACTATTCAATTTTTTTCTATCACATATTTTATGCAGTGGTCAGTATTCCTGGTTGTGGCAATATCGCGTGACTTACAAACTGAAATGTTGTCCAAGATATGGAGGATGGAATTGTCAAAGTAAGTGTACTAATAAAAAAAATTAGATCATACGATTTTCAGCGTTGAAACAAGAAGCCAAAGGATTAGTTTAATAAGTAATCAAACTGTTATTTAAAGTGATCTCCTATTAAGGATGCTCTAAACACTGCATACTAAATAGTTCTATATGTAGTGTAATTTTAAGCCATTTCGGCATTTGACTGCCCTAAGAAGTAAATTACAAAAAATACTATTTACAGTTAATTACACAATTTATAATGGATTAAAATATTTTGAACATTATATTAGACAAAGAATAAGTAAGTGAATTCATTATTTTCATAAATCTACCCATTGTAAGCGAACAACAGTGATTTTTGTTCACAAATAATATACTGTCTTTGAACATTTTTACTACAGAAATAAGACAGGTACATTAAGTTGAAATTTAACTACGCGTACATAGTCCCAATACTTATGTAAACCTTGATTTGATATTTTTTCTCCAAGTCCAACTGTAGTGTTAGAGTTTAGAGCTTCTTTAAAACCACGGTTATAAAACATACTTAAGTCTGAGAATGCTCTCAAGATTGAGAATTTTCTCAAATCCTAAATTATCAGACTCAGCGGCCGTCATAAAAAAGTTGAGAAAAATAAAAATACCTTAAGCTCTTTTATTCTCAAATTCTCAGCTGAGTAATTCTTAAAAGTTGAGTTGAGATACTGTTTGTTTAATTAATGATTGCCTGAAGCTATCAGAATGTCTTTGATGTAAGCTAAGGTTATTGTTTTAATAATTATCTTTAAAGTTAAAAAACCTCACGGCTGTAGAAATATTGTGTGTTCGTAGCATTTGAAATTCCTAGAGTTTAAAAATGTAATTGGTACACGTCAATTAATAATTTTCATAGTCCAGTATAGCGTTGCATAATTTACTATGCACATAGCTAAAAGTCAGTGATTGAAAAATAATTTTCGCGGTATGTAATCACTGTTCTCTCCATATGTAAAATGTGGAAAATTATTTAAATACTATGACTGTGTTTGAGCTCTTATTCGTCTGAGGACGTACACTATATAGTTTGGGGAAGGACACTTATTCAATTTTGAGATGAGAATTTATCGGGTCTATGACAGGTGACCAAAAGACAACTCACCGAACGACAAATCGCCGACACTTTTTTCACCGACACTATAAAACTCGCCGATACGACAAGTCACCAAAAGAAGGGTGAGTTGTCTGGCTTTTCTTGCATTTATGTAATATTCGAATGTCGTTTCATTATTCGATCGTCGGTCCATTCGACTGATAGTCGAATAGTCGACTATTCGTTGAAATTCCTTATTTTTTATTCTCTTAACGCGTTAACCACTATGCTACATCACTCATGGTGATTTTGGGCATTTAAATCATGTTTGTGATATGACCCGCGACTTAATCACTGTAAATGGACTTGAAGTATTTCTCGGAAAGATGCGAATGTTGTGTCATAAAAGTGTACTATTAAGGTACAGTGGGTCATCGCTCCATGTTTTTGTTAACCAAAAAATGTGTATTTTATTGCAAACTTTTAGGATTATCTTTCAAAAAAATGAAGCGAAGACCCACTCATATTGAAAAATTTTGTTAAAGTACGATAGAATGATCGTTTTTGTTCTTTATAGTGTGTGTAAGCTTTTTCATAGACAAATATTTTCTGTTTTGTGAGACTTTTGTACATTGTAGAAATTTTACATAAAGAATACTTTAATATGAAATGAAATTTCAAATAGAATTTACCGTTCACGGTAGCTCAGTCGGTAGAGCGCTCGCTCCGTGATCGGGAGGTCGTGAGTTCGTATCTCGGCCGCGACTGACCTAGTCGTTAAAATGGGTAGCAACTGTTCCTTCGCCATGCGCTCGGCACTTTGAAGTGAAAGTTGCGGGTCCTTAAAAGACCTTAAAAACCGAGGCCCCATGTCAGCGGCAGGCGTTGGCACGATAAAGATCCCTCACTGCTCAATGGCCCTGAGTGCCGAGTAAAGGTCAAAATTTGAAGCCCTTCACCGGCATACGGTGACGTCTCCATATGAGTGAAAAATTCTCGAGAGGGACGTTAAACAATATACAATCAATCAATCAATCAAATAAAATTTGGATGTAATTGAGATTTAAATGTTCACTTCTCATCTGTCGCACTATAGGCACTTCCCCATCTTCTTTATTTAAAAAAAAAGAAACGACAATTTTCTTTATCACATGTTTAGTTTTTTAGGTAGTAATATTCCATTTTCATCCGCAAATTGTGTTAATGTCTCCCATATTATTTGACACTCTCTGAGATAGATCAATTCTTATAAAACCGAGGCGGGTATGTGGGTGGGCACAGTACCTGTACATGTCGAAAATTTTAAATATGAATGCATTGGATAAACTAGAGGTACAGTTAGCACTTAGCTCACTAAATGACCCCCCCCCCCCCGACTCCCATAAGGTTTTTAAATTGCAAAGTTAATATTTTGCTCTTGGACACCCGAAATACGAGGACTATTCAATAAATAATGTCCAATGTCCTGAACTCTATGACATACAACACAGATATCATATGGCATTAAGCTTGACTTTCTCTCCTGGTTGAATCTTTAATGAATTTATATCATGACCACTTTTCATCTCATATTTTCATCTTGAGAAGCTGAAACACAATGGCTATTCGAGACACTGCAAATGAATGGTATAGAATCAGTAATCTAGAGTGAAATTAAACGTTTCATTAAAGTTGCTGTAAAACTTGTTAAGAACCCCAAAGAAATACTGTATTCACTGAATTTTGTGAAATTTACAGCAACCAATGTCTGTTTTATAGACACATGAGCAGGTGGATTTCAATGAACAAAAATGATAAAATGGGCATCAAAAATGGGTACCATTTCTGGTAACAAGGACTTACAACAACTAACAACCAATGCACTGTTTTTTTTCAAAATTCAACAAATTATCGCTGATGTTGTTTGATTGACTTTAAGACACATAGCAAATTTGATAGGCATCAATTTTTGGGAAGTTCACACTATTTTAAAGAAACATTTGACAGTAAAAAAGCATAATACTCAATGGTAACCTTATGTTTTGAAAAGATGAGTGAAAACGTCAGCGTGAAAGAATATCTAAACAATAATTATTTTTTTAAAAAATCAGAAATTGTAGTTATCCACGTTTGTTTCAAATTCAAACAAATAATGAAACTTGAATACATTGCTTTAAACCCCAAAAACAAATTAACAATAAGATGCACTTGACAAAAACAGAACAGGTCTGAAAAGAGCAACGAATTGCAAGAGGACAGACAGTTTTATATGCCTTTTTTAAATGTTAGTGATCTTGTTGTTCAAATTCTTATTCTGGGAGGCAGTTCAATTTCAGGAGGAGTCTAGAAAGCAAAATTTTTGCAAAAAATTCGAAAGGATTTTGAGAGGAAGGAACTAGAATCAAGAATCCATTACATTTAATTTTTTCATGACAGTGTCCAAACCCACACTCCCTGAAGAGTAAAAGTGATTTGGGGATAAACGGAAAGTTAATGTTTTTTCACACCAACAATATTCGGCAGATATGTCACCCTGTGACTTGGTTCATTTTCTAAACTTGAAAAAACACCTTTCAGGAGAAAGAAACAAGTCTAGGAAATCATAGGATCCGTCATATTCCAGTATACGAAAGGTCATGCTCAAAAATGAGTTCTAACAAATCAGAAATCGGATAAAAATGTTATGTGTTTTAATTAAAAGAGAACATTAAAAAAGTTAAAGTTAAATGATTAAGACTAAATCATTGAAAACCATCTATGTTTCCTTCCCATCACCGAGGACATTATTTTTTGAACAGCCTTCAGATCAAAAAGTAAAATAGGAGGTCACAATGGCATAATTTTATAAAGAATCTGTGAAAGTTTCATTCAAGAGATGGCTACCCTTAAATATTATTTTAAAAAATGGCTGTGTCAATCTTTTGATTTGGAAAACGCAAAATATGTGCCCGATCAAAAAGTAAAATAGAAGGTGCCCAGTGGCACTAGACGTTCATAACAGATATTCTATGACAGTTTCATTAAATTTCATTCAGCGGTGTAGGAGGAGTTGCGGATATGAGATGGGTACCCCAAAGCGTAACAGAGACGGACGTACAGCTAAACGAACGTATAGACAGACGAAAGTACCGACAGACGCACATCCCGGTCAACATATACCCTCTGAATTTTCAATTGGGGGGTATAAAAAAAAATATAACACAAAAATACTATGACAATCGATTTCAAGTTCGTATTTAGTGTGAAAAGCTTGTAATATGTAAGCCAGGTAATTATTGTCATCTTTTTTTTTCACGGTTTGTACTTTTATTGAATAATCAACGTGTAGCCTTTAATCGTGTCAATAGTACAATTACACCCAACTGTGTTTATGTACTGATGGGAGAATAGCTAAGTTGTGAGACAATATCAACTGACACATCTGTTTATATTTTGATATAAAGGTTTTTCATAATATAATTTTTAGTCCATTATTTATACACTGAATTGACGACGATTTTCCCGGTTTTTTTTCCCGATTATGACAAGGAGCACACGGCGGGTGTGACCGATCGGCAGGGGATGCTCACTCCTCCATGGCACCTGATCCCAACTCTGATGTTTTGGGGGTCCGTGTTTGCTCCACTCCTATTTTGTGTTGTTTTATGGATTTTGATCTTGAATACGGTTCGTTATCTCCATATGTTTCATACAGAGGAAACAGGTTTAGTTTTTATATTCAAAAACTTCTGAATTATTGATTGATTGTATATTGTTGTACGTCCCTCTGGAGAATATTTTCACTCATATGGAGACGTCATCGTAATTCGGTGAAGGGCTTCAAATTTAGTATTCCACTATCAACTGCTTTTGGTGTTAATGTCTCTCATGAGTACAATCAAATTTTAAGCTACAAACTGATAAGTTGATGTTACAGGGCTTTCAACTACTCGTTGGTATTCTAAATTCTATGGTCGATATAATGACCTTGAT